ATACTCAAGACTCCCAGGTCCATAGGTTAGATCTATCTATCGAGCCATCTGGCTCTAACCCCAGACCTTCAGTCTTGCGCGTGAACGCTTAACCTCTGGGCTACTGAGCCGGCATCCAGCAGTGTGAATGCCTAAATGTGATCAGTCTAAAGATTTTACGCAACATGTCGGCTTGTTTAAATATTTGGGTCATTTACTATCCAGTTATGTAAATATTACAGATAATCTATCTGTTTATTCAGATTTATTTGTATTGACCAATCAGTAATGATGGCTACGTGTACTCATGTGGTATTTAATAAAAGCTACCAATCATCTTGATGTTAAATATTAGAAAACTTAAACGAAACACTATGACTGCTGATGTTAAAATATCTTCTTGTCTAACGTTTGAAGAAAAAAAGTAGGATAAATGTCCCAGGATTCAGTAGATTTAACAGTTGAATAGATCGAAAGTTTCTATAACTAACGATTGGTAGTGGATTTTAACACAATGAACGATTTATATGATTTCATGCTTTAATTAGTTTGTTGTAAGGTAACTGTTAGGTTCATCACCAAGTATACTTGAAACTATTACGGGTTCACTTTAGTCGATGAACGCGAACGAGACAATGAACCAGCATCCAGGTAGGCTACTCTGATCTGCTGACTAATGAAAAGTCACAAAAATAGCACACTAAAATACACAGCAGCTAATCACAGCCAAAAATTTTCCTGGTGAGAAATGAAATCTCAAGGTCAACTGATCAGCCCATGCTGGCAAACGTGAAATCCAAAATAAGGCATTTATCAAACGAGTTCTGGTGATCTAACGTCCCCAACAGTAACTTTAATCGCCAAATAATTCCCAGTTTGGCTACGAAACTGAATGGAAAAAAGAGCAATTCAACATTATATTATAATTTAAAACAAATTAAATTTGATGCGAAACGTAATCCTAAATTCTTTTTAAGCTACTTTCAAGTTTATAAAAACGAATATTTTGTTAAAATAACCACAAAAAACCACACTACTCTTAAGTTGTATCAATGAAATGCGCTATCAAGGCATTAACTTATTCAACAAATACTCACATCAATGAATATTGTGTTGTGTGTTAGTATCATTTTGACTGTGAGAAATATAGTAATCAGTTGTGTTTACTTGTGTGTATGGGTGTGTGTGTATATGGAATCGGCAAACTTCATAACACGATAACTCATTCATTGTTTAAAATGTTTTCAAGTGCCAACGATTGTATTGCGCGGTATTTGAATTGAACTACTTGATCATATTGAATAGAATTGATCATTTGACAAACAATGTCTATTGTTGTTATGTTGCATTGCTGAATTGAATTTTCTAAAACCATTTCAATTGTCAATTGTTATATATATATATATATATATATATATATATATATATATATTCCTCAATGATTAATTGCATATACGTATATATCTCAAAGAAATTTTATCCTCGTGATCAGATTGTTTAAATGAAGACTCACTCATAAATTTTTTAATACATCAAACGTTGACATCAAAAGAACTTTAATTTTGGTAACTTTCTTTATGAATTTAACATAAGTTGCAATACTTGGCAGTAGCTTTTAGTCTTAATTTTGGACTACAGAGTGAGGTAAACTTATGAGCTCAGCCAAATTCTTTCTACTTAATGCAGCCAACGCGATAATCTTTAGTCATTAGATAGGAGTTGGGTAATTTGGATTTCTGACATTAAATTGTTAGAAATGTGTTAGAGCTTAGATCGAGTAAGACTTTCTACCTCCAACCATCTATGTTAACTGATACTGATCATTATGGTGTAACACAGATCTTGAAGGCATTAATGCTGCTTATGAAACTGAAGCCAGTATCATTTAAATCTATAATCTGAGACAACACTGTTGAGCTATTCAGGTTAGTTAGTTAGTTGTAAGCTAAAAGCTTATCACAGCACTCAATCAATGTTCTCAGCAGACAACTACTATTTTACTTCAGCCTTGATTAACCCAAAGGTAACAACTTTGATCTTAAATAAGTTGATAGACGCTTACTTCACAAGAGTCTCAACTTATAAATGAAACAGTTGTCTATTGCCCTTCAGCATTCAGTTGTTCAAATGTCAAATTTTTTTGAATTCAAATCATTTTCAAAGTATTTACCTAAAGTAAACATCAGTAACTATAATATTATCAAAAATGAACGTTTTGATTTTGTGGGTTCTTGGATTGTTGCTACCGTAGTTGAGAATTACGTTTGTGTGGGTTGGTTTCCGAAATACTTGAGTTTCTAGTTTTCCTGTGTTAGTTCTGGTGATTGATTAGTATATCCAGGAATAATAGGCTGTTGTTTGATTCCTTTTCCATGGTGAATTTGATGTCATCAAAGATGTTGTTGATCCGATTGTAAATGTTCTCCAGCTCATTCCTTTTGATAATAGCGAATTTTTTTCATCTACATAGCGAACCCACATTTTTGGCTTGATCACTGGCAAAATCGACGCTTCCAGTCTCTGCATTACAGCTTCCACGATGAGTCCTGATATTGGTGATCCCATTGGTGTTCCTTTTATTTTTTCGTAGACTCTGTTGTTGAATTGAAAATACGTTGTTATGCATAGGTGGATGAGTTCAAGCAGACTTTGACTCTGAAGCTTTGTATATATAATAACGAATGTGTCGTCTACATAGCGAACCTACAAAGCTTCAGAACAAAATGAACGTTGACATACTTATACGATACATGTTAGAAATCTGATAACTCTAACTTCAAGTCTAACTAAACAAAACATCTTTCCATCACATATTACACAGAACTTTCACTAGTCCAATTTCAAACTCACTAGCACATTAGATAACTGGCATTGTCTGTTTACTGTGTTAGTAGTATACTGTAACACAATAAATAATACTCTTTAATTCATTTGTACTTAATATAAACTCAGTTCAACCAACAGGATAATGACATGTTTTTTATCTTTCTTTTGAAAACTTATTAAATGTAAAATAATGGTTTTAGTTTTTATTAATCATTGAACTATTTCATTGAGAACTTCATTTATCTATCATACTCATTTTATATACTTGATATCATATGCATTGAACACTTTGATTATCCAATGATAAGTTCAAGGTCACATCAGTGTATTTTTTCAATGTACAATCATGACAAGTTACATTGTTTAAATATGTTCTTCAACTGAATAACATTTAATTTAAATTCATCAAAAATTTAAACTCCTGAAAAAATTTCTTTTGAATAATTTGATAATTGAATTTTGTGCACATTGTTTTTCAGTTGACTGAAATCTACCCTTACCGTTCTTAGCTATATTTCAATGTGGTTTATCTTGTAGTCAGTCGCTTGATATTCCGTAGCTTCCTATTCGCTTTCTAGATCCCTAAATTACTCTTACATTTGAACATCAGATAACAGCAGAAAGCCGGGACGAAGTAAACATTGAAGTTTTGCTTCAAGATTTACTTCTATACAGAAAACACCAGTATTCATTGGTTTATACACAAGATTTGTATTCTGGAAAATTCTTCAAGCATAAGAAATTCAGTAAGAGAGCAAGTAATCATCCAGTTAGAGCTGGGCACATTATCCGTTAATTTTCTATAAATTTTCGTGGCATTTTCTGATTGAAACAAATGCTGCCAGTCATTATTCTAGACTCGGATGGTGTTATCTACGGAACTGAATAGCTAATCTCCAACCGAGATGATGGATTCACTCGTCAGTGATGTTGTGAACGTTCAAGATCTCAGTTTATTGTACCTTCTCTTACATATCTTGGATCGCTTCACAACAGGGATGCTAACTCTTATCAATGTAGATTACTAAATGACTACGAATCACCAGAATAAAATCAACAGCGATCAGTGTATTCACTTACAGTTTATCCTTCTTGAATTCAGTACTTGAAACGATAGAAGACCCTTTAACGACAGAATTCATAGGCAAACCTCTTAACTGTTTCACAGTCTGTTTATGTTGGTGAAAGTCAAAAGTTGGTTCACCAAGTAAATATTTTGATAGTTAAAACTACAGATTGATATTGATTCGACAACCAGTGAGAACCTGACAGCTCTGAACATCTATTTCATCCTAGTATAGGATTTCTCGGAAGTGTTCATCTACATTCTGTTACACCTGCACATAAACAGGTCAACTTGATATACTTGAACTGTTACGAGTTTGCCTAGACGGAAAACGAGAGCGAGGATCGAGGATCCGGCGACACGACATGCTACTCAAATCCGATTATCCCAACCCCCATATTCAGTAAAAAATAAGAAGACTTGAATGTGAAGTAGAACCTGTATTCTACAAGCATCCAGAAAGTACGAGGTCCGAGTCCAGAAGAGAATCAGGATCCCGGACTAGGGATCCGGGACCGGGTCCTGGTCATAAAACGTTACAGATAATGCTTATTTATACATTTCGGTCGAATGAGAAAGGCCATCAAAGTCTGTGACATTGACAGTTGAGACGACCAATGGGAAGTAACATTTGAAGTGAGATTAATAGTCAGGACAACCAATAAGCAACAACACAGGAGTACGTGACGTTGATATCTACTAGGACGACCATAAAATTGACCAGTAGGAACTAACCAATAGGAATAGACCAATAATTCTCTTAGGATATTGGATGAATATCCTAACACTTTCATAACGGTGATCGAAGCCGGGAACTTCCCCTCATAGTAGGCCCTTAAGCGTCTGATTCAGTAATTCAATGGTTAAGATCTCGTTATAAGACTTGAAAATCATGGGTTTGATCCCCTGTGGGTTTTTTGCATGTACCGCTCAATAATCTTGTACTAGGATAATACAGCTGTCCTGTACTAAAACCAGTTCTTAATCAAAAACTATGTTCAATCATCAATTTTCAAAATCCTTCTATATCAATATTCAAACATTGTTTATAATAAAACTGATAATAAAAACAATTATTTACTTAACACAATGATTATTTGTGTTCTTTCCCCTACTTTTTGTTTACTAGGGAACCTAACAATCGTGAATCGGCAGCTTTTATTGTTGCTTACTTCTCCATTCTAACTGGATTACCTGCTAAATTTACTCGTAAAGCTGTTATGAAATGTAGAGAAAAATTAGATATTACTAGTGAATATGACGTAAGCTAGCAGATTTATGATGTAACATCTATATGCATTGAACAGTAATACTGTTAAATTTGTAGTGTTTTATTTAAATGTCTGTGTATCGATTTTCGGTTCAAAACACAAAGAAATAAAATCCACTGTGAGCCACGGTCTAACTTTATAAAGTTAAACAATATCGTAGAATCGACTTTGTGTTTGACTAATATGATAGTTATTCAAAGTATCATACATAATTTCAAATGGATTTCCAATTTCTGAAGAAAACTATCTTCAACTCATATAAACTATTTATATAAACCAGTTAAAAAAATTAATGTTGGCATCATTCTTAAAACTGTTCAGATTTCACACACAGAAATTATGAATGAATCATTGTTGAAGCACCATTAGAAACCTGGAGGCACTGGACAGCCGTTTCGTCTTGGTATGGGACTTATGAACAGTGCACATCCACGACTCATGCTAATTGTAAGATTCAAACCCAGGATCTTCAGTCTTGCTCGCTAACGTCTAATCTCTAGAGCACTGGGCCGGTATCCAACGGTGTTGATGGTTAACTCTGATTTTGCGCGACTTCACCCATTTGTCTTCGGTAGTTACTGCCTACACCTGATATGGTTGGACTCCTCTGGTCACATCTTCTCACTAAAACTCTGAGAACTTTCTCATGAAGCTAGTCGTTAGTGAGCATATTATAGGATTTTGCATTATAGAGTTATGGAGATTGTTGTTTGCTACTGAAATCATTGCTTCCAGATTTCTAATGGTGGTCTAATAATGATTTATTTATGATTTCTCTGTGTAGAATAATGATCTCCATAACTCTAATTGAAAAATGTTCTGATATCGTTTTGTACATAGGTCTAAGATGCTTGTTGAAAGTGTGAAATTTGTAATGGATATCAGCAACTGACTTTAGTTAGACAATTGTTAAAAACTACAAAGTTATGAATAATGCAAGAAACGTCATCATTATGCACTGGATGACAAATTGATAATTGAATTGAATTTAATGAAGTTTTCAAAAAAAGATGTTAACCATGGCATACTATATTATTTGAACGGAAATTATTGACTTCAAGCTTAGAATTCAATTTATAAAAAACAAGGTCGTGGATAGACACTAAGACAAAACTGAAGTTTACCAAATTCCCGGTTTTCAAACATGTTATTTAAAATAAAATCACCCCATGATATAAACTACTAGGAGGTGTGTAGAATAGATCAATAATGTGCGTTTCGTTCGTACCTTCGGACTTACATTCTGGATGTACCTATCATACTCAGGTCGAGTACTGTTCTCTTCAAACACCATTACAACATTATCCAATAAGCTACCGAATTTAGACAACTATTCAATTGGAAATAGTGTGGATTGTCCTATGCTTAGTAATTTAGCTGAAATTTGATCAGTTTTAGTTAGTTTTAGGTGTGCATCCTAAGCGCATCGCTTCAATAAAGCCATTATGATGTAACGTATATGTAAATTATTTAAACCATGAGTGTTATACACGTCAACGGATATGTTTGAAGTTTATTATGAGTTCAACTTACTAGGTAAACGAGAGTGAAGACAAATGATCCAGTGACACGATAGGCTACTCTAATCCGAGAGTCCTAAGGGCCCACTAAGTAAAGGAAGAAGTCTTGATATGGCGTAGAAAGTGTATTCTACAAACACCCAGAAAATATGAGGTTCACAAGCACACAAATCGAGCTTATTTATACATCACAGAAAGGTCCTTGAGAGAGCCACAAAAATAGTGTACTAAAACAACACATCAACCAACAAGAGTCAAGGATTTTCCGAGTGGGAAATGTAATCTCAAGGTCAAATGGTCAGCCTATGCTCGATAACATGAAATCCAAAATGAGGACCTTTATCAAATGAGTTCTGCGAATCTAACATCGTCAACAATGAGTCAATCTAAGTAATACCAACCAACCAGTGAGTATTTGAGAGCATTGAACGGTTATTGCTGAGAAAATTCATTTTATTACTTCCTCTTCTCTCTACTATATTTTTTTCTTTCTTCTCCCAACTAGTCTATCATTGAATCAATGCAAAACTCAGCTACAGCAAAACAATTACGTGATGATTTATTCCGCGATACATCTGGTTACACGGAAGATAAATTAATTGAAGATTTACGCAGAATTTATCAATTAGCTGAATTGGATGCACCGACATCATCAGAAATTCAATTAGAAACAAGACGTGACAGTATGAAGCTGGAATCATCAACTACACAAAATAATTCATTAAATCAATTGTTTCGACGTTTATCAACGGATACAAATAAACAAGATGTCACTGGTAGTGGTAGTAGTAGTAGTTCATCCAATCAACGTGATTATAAAACACCAGACATAATCATACAAGATGATGATGATGATAGAAATAAGAAACAAGATCTAGTAAGTTCTCCGTCATCAACTAGCCCTCAACATCCCCACCATGATCATTCTAATTCTCCATTCACAACTAATCAACCGGACAAAATCGATAATCGAGTTGGCAATGATACCAATCAAACACAATCAATCGATAATGCACATAATACTGATCTGAACAGTGCACACAATAAAATGCATTCTTCATCTAACATTGATCATCAGCATCATCATCATGATAGTATGCAGAAATCGAAATTCTCCAAAGTCACCATCACCTATGCTCCATCACGTGAATCAGTTGAATCGGATGCTGTCGATGAATATTTAAGAAGTACCAGTGCTGAAGAACGTGACAAAGTGCGAAAACGTGTAGCGATTACACATGCTCATGTTAAAAAGACGGATGATGATAATGATTATTTGTAAGTTCGAATTTGATTCAATGAATCAATGGAGGAGTAGATGTTGAACATTTAACAAACGAAAATATATAATATATATATATATACATATCATGGTATGTAATTGATAGAAAGTTGTTTTTCTTTTCTTTTTTTTGAACAGTCATGTTGTTAATATTGATTACTTACAATTACACTATCATTTTTGTCATGAACTAATTGAATTTCTATCTTTTCATACAATATTTACGATTATTATTATTATTATTGTTATTATTATTATTATTACTTATTGCGATTATGAATAATGAAAATTTATTTTAAAATTAAATAACTTCTTCTATTGAACAATTGAACAATTTGTTTAAATTTGTTTAAATTTTCCGAATGTTTTGTTGTGGTACATTCTTCTTTTTTTTTCAAACAAAAGAAAACATCATATCTTTAATTCTGAAATTTTGTTTACTCTGATTTTATGATAATTATTGGATATATCTTTTTTTTTAAAAAAAAATATTTTAATATTAATAGAACAATGAAATAATTTAAGAGTTAAATGTTCTTAATTTTAAAGAAACTATTATGAATTGTATGAGTATCGAAAGTAGGTTTAGCTTGATTTTTATTTCACTGCATAGTATGTCATACTGACTTTTCTTACTTAGCTTATATTTGTTGATAACTTTGTGATCAGATTGACATTCATCAAACATGTTAGGATATGCATCAAATATCCTAAGTCTAATTCTACTGGTCAATATTATGGTCGTCCTAGCTATCAATGTCACGTACTTCAGTGTTGATTCCCATTGGTCGTCCTCACGATCAATGTCACTTCAAATGTTGTTTCCTATTCAACCTAACCGTATATATAATACGCATTATCTGTCACACTTTACGACACGGATCCCTATTCTGAGATCTTGACTCTCTTCTGGACTCGGACCTCGTACTTTGTGGATGCTCGTAGAATACAGTGTCTACTTCATATCAAGTCTTCTTCTTTTACTGAATGAGGGTTTGGGACACTCGGATTCGAGTAGCATGTCATGTCGCCGGATCCTCGATTTTCGCTCTCATTTTTCGACTAAGGTAAACTCGTGATAGTTCAAGCATATCAAATGACGTGTTTACGTGCATACATAACAAAACAGCTATTCAGTATCAAAAAAAGTTGGAAATTAGCTTCATCTAACAATAACTTGAGATATTTAGATTTGTTTAAGTGTTAGATCGTTTGAGATAATCAATAAAGAGCTATGAAACTATGCGGTGTCATAGTCATAACTAGTTCTCAGTGTTAATTGAATTTCGTCAAACAAATTGCAAAGCGACCATTAATCCTGACGCATCGATGTCAATTGAAATGTGTTTGGACAACAAAATTCTATCAACAATAAGGACCATGAAAATGCACTATTATTTACATTTCTTTGACTGATCGATTTGTCTGATCAAGTGAATAATGAACGTTGAAATGGAATTTACGTACATTTGATAAATATTTTCGCTAAGTATACATATGTTACACAAAAAGTTATTGGCTTTCACCATGAAGGTTTCTGGAGATGACTAATTACGGACTGACCGGAGTTAAGTATTCACTAGACAGTTATTTCCTCTTATTATGGAGCTCCTAGAACCGAGTTGCTCATCAAAGTCAAAAGATAATCGGTCATTATCGTGAATTGAATGAAGTCAGATTTTTTTATTTACGTCAAAATTGAATGATCTATTGTAGTTCTTAACATCATTCACAGAAAAAAATACAAATCTTTACAAATGAATTTAAAATCTTTTCGAATTTATGCAATAGTCAAAACTTCAATATAAAATTAAATTATATCGAATACATGAATCGATCAATGTCAGACCATAATTAGAAACCTGGAAGCACTGAAAGACGGCCGTTTCGTCCTGGTATGGGACTACTCAGCAGTGCGCATACACGACTCCTACACCCCGCACGATTTCAACCCAGGACCTTCGGTAACAATCTTCACAACCCCATAATTATATTGAATACATCATATTGAATTTTGAACCTTGTTCTCTTAATGGAATTCATCAAAATGTAACCCCGGAATTCTGTTGCTATTTTTTTTTCTATTACTGTCTTCAGTGTTTATTCTTATCTGATATCTACTTGAATTGATCAATTCTTTGATAAATTTATGAGAAATATTTCATTTCTTTACTAACAACTTACTATACAGATGGATAACATGAAATGATAAATTCGAACTTAAGAATTTATACTGACTAACAAAGTTGCATCTTTTTTCAATTAGAGTTATGGAGATTAGTGTTTGTCTACACATTGAAATCACCAATCACTCAATCATTGTTAGACCATCACTGGAAACCAGGAAGCACGGGATGGCCGTCAAGTCCTGGTATGTGATTCATCAGCAGTTCGCATCCACGACTCCTGCACTTTGCAAGGTTTGAACCCAGGACCTTCAGTATTACGCGCCGACGCCTAACGTTTGGACCACTGGTCCGGCATTCAACGGTGTTAATGTCTAACTCTGATTGATCAAGGGATTTTGCGCGACCTAACCCATTTGTCTTCGGTAGTTACTGCGTACACCTGAAAGGGTTGCACTCCACTGGTCACGTCTTCTCACCAGAACTCCGAGAATTTCCTCACGAAGCTAGTCATCAGTTAGTACATTTTACGATTTTTCCAATTAGAGTTATGGAGATTAGTGCTAGTTGCACATTGAAATCATCAATCAATCATTGTTAGAGTGGAAAGCATGAATCATGAAACATGAAAATGAGCAAGTGTATACAGGGTAGGTAAGACATCAAGCATGTACACATCAGACTAATCATGAAATGAACACACAGGTACACACACACACGCAGAAAGAAATTGTGATTTTTTACATGTCACTTAATTTCGAATTAGTTTTATTCCTATAAAAAAGTAAATCTATTGTGTAAGTGATTGATTTTTTCCGATTATTAGCAAACAGAGCTCTTTCAATCAACACATTTTATGTTCAGAATGAATTGTGATAGAATGAGTTGATTGAAAAAAAGCAACAACTCTAATACATGATTATTGTTGGAGAAATAAAAATTTAGCTACAAGTTTAGAGGAGTTGTTTGTGGAGATGTTGTAGAATTTGCATAGTTTATATGATGAAGTGAGAATTAGGAAGTAGTAGAAAGTTATTTCAATAATGTACACAGCGAAAATTCTATAATCTTCACAAAATTCCTTCCACTAATAATAATAGTAATAATAATCATGTACTTATCAATGAATAACTTTGAGATCGGATTCCTAGATGTCTAATAAGAAACTGTCACCTATGTAGTTCAACCATGACCATTGTGAGACAGTTATCCACCGTAGGCAACAGAAGACGTTCGAGAAACCTGGTAAACTGATTATACTTAAATATCTGTACCACTGTATGGAGCGGAAACTTGGAGAACTACGAAAGCCATCATCCAGAAGATACAAGTGTTTATGAACAGTTGTCTTCGCAAAATACTTCAGATTTGTTGGCCAAACACCATTAGCAACAACGTACTGTAGGAAAGAACAAACCAGATTCCAGTGGAGGAGGAAATCAGGAAGAAGCGGTGGAAGTGGATAGGACACACATTGAAGAAATCACCTAACTGCGTCACGAGACAAGCCCTCACATGGAACCCTCAAGGCAAAAGGAAAGGAGGAAGGCTAAGGAACAAAATACGCCGAGAAATAGAGAAAGAAATGAGAGGAATGTACAAAAATTGAACAGAACTGGAAAGGGAAGCCCAGGACAGAGTTGGCTGGAGAAAACTGGTTGCTGGCCTATGCTCCATTGTGGGTGACAGGCGTAAGTAAGTTAGTAAGTATCTGTACCACTGAATGCCAGCCTCTGTAGTCTAACCATAAACGCTGAAGACTAATTATCTTTTGTTCGACCCATTATGGGACAGTGTATATATTCAGCTAGGAAGTCCTAAACTAGGATGATGTCCAAGCACTGAACTATTTTCATATCTATATAAGGTATGAAATCCACTGGTTCACAGATTGATAATCTCAAATCGATACATGAAGCCATTTCATAATTTTATTTCCAATATTCTCGAAACCATTGAACACATCTACAAATTTTACATATAAAAGCATCAATAATCGTCTGATTCTGTTTAAATTTGTTTTGATTTTTTTGTTTTTTTATGGAGACAAAAAAATGAGTGAGTTGTTTCGATTTAAACAAATAAATTTTTTTAATTCCACATTTCTCAATTGGTTTTAAATTCACAGGGTTTTATTGTTGAAAAGAAAAAATAATTTTACAAAATTTAAAAAGTAACATTCAAATATTGTTACACTGCATTTATTCAATAAAGAATGTGTAAAGTTGTTAATTGTTATTAACATTATTGTTGTTGTTATTATTATTATTATTATTATTATTATTATTATTATTATTATTATTGAAAATGAAGTATATTGATAAAAAAATGTGCATTCTTGCTTCAAATATCAATTATTTATTGAATGAAAAAGGAAAACAAATGATTGATTGTTAAAACAAATTTAAAGCATTTTATATTTTAAGTGTATGTATTTGATAGACGTTTTGTGTTTATATATATATATATATATATATATATATATATATATATATATATATATATATATATATATATATATATATATAATCAGCAACACTGAAGAACAGAGAAATAGGTGGGTAGAGCACTTTCAAGAACTCTTGAATCGACCAGCTCCACTGAACCCACACAACATCGACCTCCCAATTCATATTGGCGCACCTACGATTGATGAGATCAGTATGGCAATCAGACAAATCAAGAGTGGCAAAGCAGCAGGATCAGACAACATTCCAGCAGAGGCAATGAAAGCAGATGTAGAAGCAACTGCAAAAATATTTCACATCCTCTTCAAGAAGATTTGGGATGAGGAACAAGTACAATCAGATTGGAATGAAGGATACCTGATTAAAATACCAAAGAAAGGCGATCTCAGCAAGTGTGAAAACTATAGAGGCATCACTCTTCTTTCAATACCAGGCAAAATCTTCAATAGGGTATTGTTAAACAGAATGAAGGACTTCGCAGACGCCCAACTTCGAGATCAACAGGCTGGATTTCGGAAGGATCGATCGTGTAACAAGCAAATAGAATTCGACACTACGGATCATTGTGGAACAATCAATTGAATGGAACTCACCACTTTACATCAACTTCATCGACTACGAGAAAGCATTCGATAGTGTGGATAGGAAAACACTGTGGAGGCTTCTTCGATACTATGGTGTGCCTGAGAAAATAGTCAACATCATACGGAATTCTTATGATGGATTCAACTGCAAAATCGAACACGAAAGACAGCTAACAGACTCTTACGAGGTGAAGACCAGTGTCGGGCAAGGTTGATTATTCTCAACCTTTCTCTTTCTCCTGGTCATCGACTGGATTATGAAGACGTAAGCATCTGAAGCGAAACACGGTATTCAGTGGACAGTTAGGACGCAGCTGGAGGATCTAGACTTTGTAGATGACCTGGATCTTCTATTTCACACGCAACTACAAATGCAAGAGAAAAGGACCAGTG